AAAGAATAGTGTCACTGAAGTTCTGTAGTAAAACTTGATGGAGTGGTGATCTTCAAAAGTTTACAAAAAATAAGTAAAAGAAACCCTTCAAGAAGCAGTATTAGTTGAAGAGCTGGCTGATTCAGATATATTGCTTGCTGAAGAAATTGGCTTAGAGTCTTAAGGATATTCTGCAACCAAACCCTGAAGATATCCTCATCAAGTAAAGTGTTTCTTGCACTTCCAGGTACTTTAAGTTCTGCTTTGTCAGAAATTCTTTGACAAATTACCAAGTTTCTGAGGACCTCCATGCATATCCACTTACAAAGTAAATGCACAGATTAGGAAAGGGGAAAAATGTGTAATTCAAACTGCCAGAAATCTGTTGGATCCAAGATTCAAAGACAGAAATTTAAGTGATTATTTTATTATATTTATTAAATTTATATTCTGCCTTTTCTCAAGGACCTCAAGGTGGCTTATGTAGTTCTCCTCCTGTCAATGTTAGCACTGCTGCTGCATTTGACTGAATTACAAAACAAGCAGCACACCTAGGTCATTATGTAGGAAGGGTCATTTCAAAATGTTGCAGAATAAACATCAGGAATTTTGTTCATGACTGCAGCCTGGGATTCTGCCATACAAATCTCACTTGCAACATGGTGGCAGTGCCTTTGCACAACACAGCCACTGATGCTTCTTGCTTCCTGCCTACTTGAGATTCCTCCATCTTCTGCTGCATTTGAAAGAAACTAGTCAATGTTTTGAAATACTTACACCAAACCAAGAAATGAAGTGGCATATGAAAGGGTAGAGAAGCTTGTTTACTCCTGGCAGGACTTTAGTTTTTAGAACTATGAAGACAACAAAAGGTAATGAAGCAGAAGCAGTAGAAAATGAAATTGACAGCAATGCTCAGACAATGGGACTGGTTAAATTTCATATATATTCATTGAATCTTCAACCCTAACCTTCTTCTCCCTGCCACCCCAGTTCTTTTTATGGCAATGAATTCTTTTATGTCCTCTTGACACTGTGATACAGAAGACAGAATTTTCTTTGATTTACTAACATTGATGGCTTCATCTGTTTTTATTATCTTTTTGCCCACTCCTCATAAACTGGCAAAACTGAAGATGTTCCATACAGCTTAGGTGTTCTTTTCAGTTCAGGACACAATACAGAAATAATTTTTAAAAAGATATAATTTCAGTTTATAATTATTACCTGAATAAACTATACTTTCAAGATGCCCAACATGGTCATCTATTTCATAAAGTATAATATATACTATGTTTTGTGATCCTAAAGCAGACTTTTAATCTGCTAATATTACATTTTCCAAAAATGGGGTTTCCCCCCAAAGAACTCCCCCCCACTCCACGGCTTGCAAATTCCTGAAACTTTTACATTTCCATTGTATACTATAATAACCTACATGCTTAATGCTGCAAACATCCATGAGTCCATTAATCATACATGAGATTTACTTCTGAATAAAGCAAATAAAGCACTTCCTCCTTGTCAGTAACAAGTAACAGCAGAAGACAGAGACCTCGAGACTGGATGATGTTGTCTTGTTGCTTCCAGTCCCTGCACATGTGAGGAGGCAGACAGGTTTGCCGCCAAAGAAGGCTGCACATTTTATTTCTCATATTTAATATTTGCCAGTATCTAAAACACTTTTTATATACTATTTTGCTTCTAACTTCTTGAAATGCTAAAATATACATTAAATGTTTCAATATTGAGTTTGTAGCCAGTTCATCACCATGCAACTCTTAAAGTACCAAAATAAGTAGTTGGATACATTTCTGAGGGCCAACCAAAATTCCTAATAGACGCATTGCCCAACTGTGAGTTTTGTTTTTAGTCATAGATCAACATAGGCAACTTTCTTTTTGGATATTTGCTTTTTAAATTACCAAAGCTACCAATCCCCAGGTTCCTTTTTAGATCCTAGTTCTCTATATCAAAACTACTTCAGGGTGAATAAGGCAGGTTATTATTATTATTAATTTATTTTATGTCACCCAATATTCAATCTTTCTGAGTGGTGTACAACAATAAATTCAATTCATTACAATATAAAATAGCAAAATAATCATTAAACTGAATTTTAACAACTTAAAATTGTTGTCAACTTCATTTACCAAGGAGTAAGACTCTAATCTTATGTATACTTCCCTGGGAATAAATCTCATTGAACTCAGTATCATTTACTTCTGTTTATCATTGCACAATAAGTTTGACAGAATCCCTAACATCTTTTCCATACATAGATCCCTCTGTGCTCCAGTTGTTGCACTACTCCACATAATTTCCTGAACTATCTTCGCTATATTTTCCTACCTCAAAGGTCTCTATTACCATGTCCAGGGCTTGCCCAAAGATATTTACTGCCTGAGGCAGAGCAACAAATGGTCTCTTGCCCAAGTCAAGGTGTGCAGCAGTACTCAAAGCCAGCAAGTGGTTTTGATCCTAGATGCTAGAAAGCCCTCTCCCCTTTCTGGGCAGTGAACATACAATACAAATTAATCAATTGAATACTGTCTTGCTTTTTCATGATATCCCAAACCAGCTGTCTGATGCAGCTCCCCAAGTCTGTAAAAGGAGTGTATATGTGTTCTAAGGGTCCTGTCTACTAAAAATACCCTTATTTGCAAAAAGGGATATATGGATAGGGAAGAGGATGCAGAAAAATTCAAGGGAGGCAGCACGAGAGGGAGGCACATGTGGACAAAATGCCAACTAATCCAGGGAGATCAGAGGCAACAGAGAGAATCTGCACCTTTATTCCAGAAAGTGCCATCTTTTTCCTATGATATGCAAAGTAACAGTGTTCAAAAACTTTCTGTACAGAAGATTCCTGTCCATGAAAGTTTATTTGTGCCTTTCCACTGTGGTTTTGAGCACAAAAGAGCAAGAAGCCCCTATCCTCCCCTCACATCTACTCACCTTTCTCTAGCCAAGGCAGACTTCTAATGCCAAGAAGAACAATGCATGCACCAGAAATTGCCTGTGTAGATCATGGAAAGTACAGGTGCATTCTGGAAAGATGACTGCACAGTCAAGGAGTTCCAGTCATACTCAAGCAAGCCAGCAAGTTAGAGCAAGCTGTACAGTCATACATTGCTTTGCCCAAAGTCCAGGGATTCCTGCTCATTCACAAGCAAGCCCATTTCTGTTTTCCCCAACCTGCAACAGCTTGGAGGAAAAAACAGGTGACGAAAGCCTCTGGCATTCCGATTGATATGTGAATACCCAATCTCCCTGTTCTTCCTCTTATCAGGACCTTACTGCCTACAATGGTCCAGCACACAAGTGCAACTGTCTAACAGTGATTGGCCGGGCAGGTCTCTGTACTCAGGCACACTCTGAGAAAGCCAGGTAGTACTGTTAGGCAGAAATTTTAAACTCCTGACTTAATGAAATAACAAACAGGTTCTGGAGGAAAAGGTGGCAGTTTCCTCTTTCTTTTGAATGTGTCCTGAGTTCAGAGGGACAAAGTAGGGTTGTATCAAAGCAGATGATGGCAATTAGGGCTTTTCTAAAGCCTTGAGGTAAAGTCTGGGAGTTCTGGGGGGCATGGCCATGTGGATCTCTCACAAATACTATGATAATACGTATTCCTTCAAGAGGGTTTCCTTCAGGAGTTTAAGACAACCTGGATTGGTAAACTTGGTCAGTAGGCTGGGGGCTTGCCAGTGGGTTAGGCACTTTGCAAATGTTGCTGGCCGAACAGGTCTCTAAGTACACAAAAGGACTTCTCCTGAAAATCTTAAAGCAGAGTAAGTTCACAGAGAGACTAGCAGGTCCTAAGTTGTTAAGGGCTTTAAAGATTTAAACTAACATCTTGAATTATTCCCAAAAAGCAATTGGCAACCAGTGCAGGTCTTTCAGGTCAAATGTAATCTGCTTCTGATGCCATGCCCCAGTAAGCAGTCTAGCTGCTACATTTTGTACCCACTGAAGCTTCCAGATAGGCTTCAGCACTCCAGGCCCACATTAGTCTTAATGTGATGGAATCACATTGTGATATTGTGAGAACAGCACATTTTGCAATAAAAGTATTGAAAAAGCAGCCTATCATTTGGGCAAAATTATTAGTTTCTTTTTCAAACTGGGCATGATACTGTTGAATCCTGATGATAACCCTACAGAAGCCCATAAAATAAAATAAAATGCATTTTCTATATATAAAGTAGGTTGCAAGTGTTTAATGCATTAGCAAAGACAAGCATTGCAACCTGCTGATGTTGGAGAAGTCTGCTAAATTCCCAGAATAAGTCATATTAATTTAACATGGATAAGATAATTGATTTGATTTCATTCCATCAGTTGCAGAAGTAAGTAAAGATCTTCAAAATACATTTAGGGTACAATCTTCTGCAAGTTTAGACAGAAAAAGGCTGGAGCATGCTAGGAGATGTACGCATGGAGACACAATGTTTGAAGTTGTGATGATACTGTTTAAAATATTCATGATCAAAATAACGGTGTGTGAGAAGTTATATTTCATAGAAATATTAATTAAATACATCAATTATTACATAATAATAATGATATAGACTAATATGGTTTCTTCCATATTAGTCTATATCATGCACAAATGCAAACTTCTGTGGGAATACGTGTTGCTAGGTGCTGAGAATAACCTCCACTGTTCCCCCCATACTCAGAAGACACATATGAGACTGCCTACTGAGGGGTTGTTATCCATGACTAATGATATGTATTCATTGTTGATGTAAGCCACTTTCAGAACTGAACTGGGCTAGTTAAACACAAACAACAACCAAATCAATATGTGGTATAGACTAATGGAGAAACTGAAAGATGCTAAAATAGACCAATTACTTTAACTTGTATCTATCCTTAGACTGAATTACTTTTTGAAATGATTATATTCTTTAAAATCAGAAGTTCTCTTACCTAGACAGTAAAAAGATATTGTATTTGTACTTGCATTGAACTAGTTACCAAGAACTTGCATAATACTTAAGAGGTTGTATACTTACCAGCTCGTAGTGGCCTGGGCACACCACCAACAAAAATAGTTTTTCGAGGATCTAGGGGCTGTGAACCATCCATCACAAAGTCACTATCACTTAAGTTCCAGGGACGGATCTGAACCTAGTAAAACCATGTAGAGAATGGTCTGTTACTCATGTCTAACCTGATCATTAGAACTGTGTTTTCCTCAGTCCAGATAAAATGTCAGCCAGTGCATCTCTGCTATGTATTGTTACCTGTATCTGTGACTGGAGGATTGAGAACAATAAAGTTACTATAAAAGACAGGAGTTTCTGCTCTAATCTGGCTTTAACTTCAGGTGCATCCCCTTCTCCTACCACTTTTGAACATTTAAAAGTACAACTTTGCATCCAAGTCCATGGAATATCAAGCTGCTATAGGCAACTGGATGCTTGATCTGACATAGGAGGAAGCAGACTGACCTATGCTGCAACCTGACAAAGTGTTTGTCGTTTACTGGGAATCCAGTCCAGCTTCAACTCTACTACTGACACACAATAGTAACAGTAGACTACTTAGCTCTAAGCTCCTTTCCTTCTTCAGAGTCTTTCAGCTTTCAATAAGGGTATAACTGTAGACTGTTGAATATTGCTTTGAGTTGTTACATGCCCTTTCTGAGTGCAATCATAAATGTGGCAATAAATAAATTGCAGGATTCCTGTAAGCTCATTTCTTCAGCTTCAGCCCAACCTGGAAAAGGCGTCTACTGATACTGCTGGACAAAAATCTTGCAGGGTTGTTGTAAATCACTCAGAGCATGACCTGCAGTACTCAAGGTGAGTATACTGGAGGACTGTCATAAAACACTCCTTCCCAGCCACAGTCTCTGCTAATTTGTAATACAGGGACATTGAGCATTAAGCCAACCAGAGATGTGCAATGTAACTGGATGGGATAAAAATACCCAAATAAATAAATACTGTCTTTATTTTGAAATTTGCATTAGCAGGGAGGCAGGTTGAGTTTTAGACAAAATTTGAGATAGGAAAAGTAGCAATGTTTATCTTTGCTGTTACCTTTTGTGAGATTTGGGTTGGACACACTGATGCCCTGTTATTTCTATATTAAAATCTGGTGGTACCTTTCTGTGTTGGTGGTATAGTGCTGGCTTCAGAAGCAATGACACCTGAACACTTGAACTGCAAACAGAATATATGGTAATTTTCATATTATCCAAAATAGCATCAGTTGTTCAACTCCATGGGATCAAACAGATGTGACTATTTTTGGCAGGACTGCTGGTTGTATTATTAACCCTCTTTTCCTTGGTAGTGATCCTACTGTCTCCCCAGCTGTTCTTGTTAAAGGAAAAGACAGACCCATAAAACACAATTTCTCATTTTGGAATCACAGCTATACTGACCCTAATTAAAAGCTTGCTTATATATACTTATTTTCTTCTTCAACATCTTAATTTTCATTCTATGAAAAGCCGCCTCAGGTCAGATGGCTGATATGACCTGATGACCATGTTTGTTTACTTACTGGCTTATCCTTGATAGTGGGGCTAGAAACACACAGATACAGCTTTCCATCTTCTTCAAGGCAGGCATCAATCAATGCTTGAACAGAACTCTCCTCTTGGAAAAGCAGGAATGCATAACCTAGACAGTATGGGAAGATGGGAGTGGGGAAAACTTGAATATGGTTAACATTTCCCTCCTCATATTTTTAAAGCATGGGCTTCACACATGTACCTAAAGAGTTTTCCTGTGTGTATGGAACTTTGCTGATATTTGTTTCTGAGTGCAACCCTTTGCACTGTTATCAGATCCTGTATGAATGGGAGCTATTGCAAGAAAATGGGAGCATGAAAAGTCCTGATACATGACTGGAAGCTACCAATCCATTATAAAATTCTGGGAAATAAACAATATTATGTCATAAATGAACAAGCACAGTACATTAATTGAATCAAAAGTCAGGACATAAAGAAATAAATCTAAAAAAATACTCTTTCTAGACAGTGCCTTAGGCATTTTACAGTGCAATCCTATATGTATTTACATGTCAATAAGCACAATTATTTTGCATGGCACTTACTTTCAAATAAATGTGTATAAAGAATGTAGGCTAAGCAAACAATCTCTGTGATAGCTTATAACTTTGCTTTCTTGACAGACTAATCTATCATGCCAATCTAAAAGATGCTACTTTACTTCCTATTAAAATCAGAGATGGCACAAATGGGTATCAGTTCTGGCAGTGGAATAAAGTAGTTTGTTACAAATGTGACCTAAACCAGCAAAAAGGCTGGATCTTGACTCTGCCATTTATGCAGTGCAATCTTCGGATGTGACTAGTGCACCGTCTAACAGTCCATTATTGGAAGAGTTTCAATTATTGAGACTCGAGGATGTGGACAAGGTGCTAGGCTCTGTCCGATTTACAACATGCCTTTTTGACTCCTGGTTGATTGGGAGATCTGAAGGGGTTTGGCTCAGGGTTCAGAAGGCTATCGACACCTCATTAAGAGAGGGAGTGGTCCCTTGCCCCATTAAAGAAGTAGTGAGACCACTCCTAGAAAGGCCAGGCCTGAAACCAGGGTTACTGAATAGCTACCGGCCCATTGTTAATCTCCCCTTTTTGGGCAGGGTGGCCATGCAGTTGCAGGCACTCTTGGAGGGTATCTGGATCCATTTCAATCGGGCTTTAGGCCTGAGTTTGGAATGGAGATGGCCTTGGTTGCCCTGTACGATGACCTGTGCTGGGAGAGGGACAGGGGGAATGCCACCCTTTTGGTTCTCCTTGACCTCTCAGCAGCCTTCAACACCATTGACCATAGTGTCCTTCTGGACAGGTTGGCTGTGGTTGGAATTGGAGGCACTGCTTTGTGGTGGTTCCGCTCCTACCTGGCTGGCCAAGTCAAGAAGGCTGGCCTGAGAGACTGTTGCTCTGAGCCATGATGGTTGCGTCATGGGGTACCGCAGGGCTCAGTGCTGTCTCCCATGCTTTTTAACATATATATGAAACTGCTGAGAGGTCATCTGGAGGTTTAACATATAAAGCCCTAAATGGCTTAAGCCCTGATTATCTTCAGGAGCGCCTGCACCCATATGTGCCTACCCGGCCTTTGAGATTTACACAGGGGGCTCTCCTGTGTGAACCATCCCTTAAGGAGGTGAGAGGGATGGCTGCTAGGAGGGCCTTTGCTGCTGCTGCTTCCCATATCTGGAAAGCTCTCCCCAAGGAGATTTGCCTGGCGTCTTCCTTACTTTCTTTTCAGCACCAGGCAAAGACCTTCCTTTTTAATACTTAATGCCATTTGACCTTTTTGGTATTTCTGCTTGCATTTTATTGTTAAAGACAATAAAAGATATCTCTTTTAAAGATGTCTGTTATTGGTTTTATTGTATTTTTATCTTGTCATTGTGAGCCGCCTAGAGTACTGTGACACAATTGGGTGGCATATAAAAGGTTTAAATAAATAATGCAGGAGAGGCAGAAGAGCTGATAGGGTTATTATATAGAACATTTTGACAGTGATGAAGAGGTTAACATCACAAGTCTCTAAGACTGGCCATCGTCTTCCATCCTCCTTTGGCATTATAAAGTATCAGGAGCAGAATCTGTTCCATAACCGTGAGAATAGAACAGGCTGAACAACTCCTTTTGCTAATAGTGTGCAGAGACCTTATATGTGATGCACAGAGAACACAAAAAACTTTTCTTTCTTTTGTACCTCACTCTGACTGCCACCCTGATTCCATTTTTGTGCTGGAACTGTTCTGCTAATTACATTGGTATACTTTTGGTGGTACTCAGGAATGATTCTAAATACATATTCACCAGACCTATGTTAGGGATTAAAGAATGTGTGACAGCAATGAAGCAAGGATAAGAACATTTGGTCATCTTTTCTGAATCTTACCTTATTTATCACAGTTGACAGTTCATATTATAACAAAGGGTCCCCCTGCTTTCTTTCATATATTATCTGTACCATTTAAAAGATTGCAATAAACAAGCTACTTAGAAATGTTATCCCCTGATGGAAGGAAAGCTATCTTCAAATAGATATGGAAGGAAAACTGAAAGCTAAAATAGTAAAAAAATATAGACATGAAAACATCCTTAACATTAAATGGCACAAAATATAAAGAATAATGAATTTAGAGTTACCAGTGAATTTCAAAAAGTTAATCAATTAGGACTGATGGGTAAGGATAACATATTTGCTCTGTAGGAAAATTAAAGAGAGAAAGATCCTAGGATTCTTCATGTATAATAGCCAAATGTAAGGATTTTCCTTTAAATATCATGCATAAAAAGCTAAGCTGTAAACTAAGTTAAACATTGTATGAACCCCTTGAAATTATAAGCTAAGCAGTGCATGAAGCTCTTGAACTACCCACATTTTCATTTGTGATAACTTCTATCATGTAAAAAGTGCAGTTCACGGCCATGAGCAGCCCTCTAAAGTCCTATGTGGTTTCACTGATGACCCTATCATTTGCCACTGGCTAAAACAAAAACAACAGCAATACTCTAAGAAGATGTTCTTTCATTCCTGAAATTGAAACCTAGTTCATACAAGCGTAGCATTTCCGAGGAAGTTCCAAAAGTTGTCCAGTTCAAGTTATGCTCATACTGGAAAAAGGGAGATGACAGGATACTTCCTTCCCTATACTGTATTTTGGATACATATGACAATATTTTAGATATTCACATAGAATTGGATTTGCTGAATCAATAGCTATAACTTTAATTCTATTTCTTACTATGGCATTCTGATTGTTGTTGTTGTTAGTCGTGAAGTCGTGTCCGACCCATCTATATGCACTTTTGACTATACACACTTTTGTTGGCAGGGTCATGTCTCTGCTTTTTAGTATGCTGTCTAGATTTGCCATAGTTTTCCTCCCCAGGAGCAAGTGCCTTTTAATTTCTTGGCTGCAGTTCCCATCTGCAGTGATCTTGGAGCTCAGAAAAATAAAATTTACCTCCATTTCTTCCCCTTCTATTTGCCAGGAAGTGATAGGACCAAATTCCATGATCTTAGTTTTCTTAATGTTGAGTTTCAAGCCAACTTTTGCACTCTCCTTTTTCAACCACATCAAGAGGCTCTTTAGTCCCGCTTCACTTTCTGCCATAAGAGTGGTATTATCTGCATATCTGAGGTTGTTGATATTTCTCCCAGCAATTCCAACTGGTGATTCATCTAGCCCCGCCTTTCTCATGATGTGCTCTGCATATAAGTTAAATAGGCTGGGCGAAAGTATACAGCCTTGCCAAACTCCTTTCTCAATTTTGAACCAATCAGTGCTTCCGTGTCCAGTTCTCACTGTTGCTTCTTGACCCGCATATAGGTTTCTCAAGAGACAAATAAAATGCTCTAGTACTCGCATCTCTTTAAGAACTTGCCATAATTTGTTGTGATCCACACTATCAATGGCTTTAGCATAGTCAATGAAGCTGAACTAGATGTTTTTCTGGAACTCCCTAGCTTTCTCCTTGATCCAGCGTGTGTTGGCAATTTGGTCTCTAGTTCCTCTCCCTCTTCGAAATCCTGCCTGTACTTCTGGTAGTTCTCGGTCCACGTACTGCTGGAGCCTAGCCTGTAGGATTTTGAGCATAACTTTGCTAGCATGTGAAATGAGTGCAATGGTGCAATAGTTTGAGCATTCTTTGGCATTGCTGTTCTTTGGGATCTGAATGTGAACTGACCTTTTCCAATCTTGGGGCCACTGTTGAGTTTTCCAAATTTGCTGGCATATTGAGTGTAGCAAATTTACTGCATCACCTTTTAGGATTTTGAACAGCTCAGCTGGAATAATACTGTCTCCACCACTAGCTTTGATGTTGCGCAGACTTCCTAAGGCCCTTTTGACTTCACATTCCAGGATGTCTGGTTCGAGGTCAGTGACCAGCCCATTGTGATTATCAGGGATGTTAAGCTCTTTCTTGTATAGTTCTTCTTTGTAATCTTGCCACCTCTTCTTAATCTCTTCTGCCTCTGTTAGGTCCCTGCCATTTTGGTCCTTTATCATGCCCATCTTTGCATGAAATGTTCCCTTCATATCTCCAATTTTCTTGAAGAGATCTCTAGTCTTCCCTGCTCTATTGTTTTCTTCTATTTCTTTGCACTGTTCATTTAAGAAGGCATTCTTATCTCTTCTAGCTGTTCTCTGGAATTCTGCATTCAGTTGGGTGTATCTTTCCTTTTCTCCCTTGCCTTTCGCTTCCCTTCTTTCCTCAGCTATTTGTAAAGCTTCTTCAGACAGCCATTTTGCTTTCTTGCATTGCTTTTTCTTTGTGATGGTTTTAGTTGCTACCTCTAGTACAATGTTGCAAACCTCCGTCCATAGTTCTTCCAGCACTCTGTCAGATCTAATTCCTTAAATCTATTTCTCACCTCTACTGTATATTCATCAGGGATATGATTTAGGTCATACCTGAGTAGCCTAGTGCTTCTCCCTACTTTCATCAATTTAAGCCTACATTTTGCAACAAGAAGCTCATGATCTGAGCCACAGTCAGCTCCTGGTCTTGTTTTTCCTGACTGACTATATAGGGCTTCTTCAACATTGGCTGCAGAGCACATAGTCAATCTGATTTCTGTGTTGACTGTCTGGTGATGTCCATGTGTAGAGTCATCTCTTGGGTTGTTGGAGAAGAGTGTTTGCTATGACTATCGCATTCTCTTGACCAAATTCTACCAGCAAGACCAAACTTGCCTGTTATTCCGGTTATCTTTTCGCTTCCTACTTTAGCATTCCAATCCCCCATGATGATAAGGACATCATTTTTTGGTGTTAATTCTAGAAGGTGTTATAGGCCTACATAGAACTGGTCAACTTCAGCCTCTTCAACACCAGTGGTTTGGGCATAGACTTGGACTACTGTGATGTTGAATGGTTTGCCTTGGATTTGAACTAAGCTCATTCTGTCATTTTGGAGATTGTATCCAAGTACTGCTTTTTCTACTCTTTTATTAACTGTGAAGGCTACTCCATTTCTTCTGAGGGATTCTTGCCAGCAGTAGCATACCTGATGGTCATCTGAATTAAATTCACCCATTCCTGTCCATTTTAGTTCACTGATTCCTAAGATGTCGATGTTCTGTCATCTCTTGTTTGACTTCATCCAGCTTGCCTTGATTCATGGATCTTACATTACAGGTTCCTATGGAGTATAGATCTTTACAGCATCAGACTCTCCTTTCACCACCAGATACATCGGCAACTGAGTGTCCTTTCGGCTTTGACCCAGTCGCTTCATTCTTTCTGGTGCTGCTAGTACTAGCCCTCTGCTCTTCCCCAGTAGCATACTGGACACCTTCTGACCTGAGGGGCTCATCTTCCGGCGTCATATCTTTTTGCCTTTTGGTACTGTCA